TCGCCATACATCTCGAACATTAGACGCGCATAATCTTTAAATACTGGTATAATTTCGGGATTGGTCCAGCCACCCAGTTCTTGTAAACGTTGTGGTAGATCCCAGTGATAGATTGTGACCATTGGTGTGATGTTATAGTGCAGAAGCTCGTTAATTAGATCACTGTAATAGCGAATACCTTCACTGTTGACATTATTCATATAGCCGCCCGGCAAGATGCGGGACCATGAGATCGAAAATCGGTACACGTGTACGTTTAGATCACGCAGCATTTGTATATCGCGACGCCACTGTGTGGAGGGAAGTAGAAAAATTTAATTAAATAGGGTACTCGAGACAAAAAACCCTTTTCACTTTAGATTGCAATCAAATTTATATAAAATATTCAGATAAAGAGTGTGCATTCTAGTGGCACAGGGAAACATTGAGTTTACTCTGCAATGAAAAGATAACAAGAAAACCTTGTTTCAAAACTACACTGGCGAGTGTTTTTTTTTTTTTAGTTCATTAATTTACAACATTTTCAGGTATCTTCATTGTTTGCACTAAAGTTCTGTCTTTTATTCTTTTCTGAATTCATTTCTAAGGCATAGTTGCTTATAAGCAAAAAGATTGAAACGGTAACTTCAGTCATAGAATCATATAGAAATCATTGATCTCTCGCCTGCGGTCGTTAAAATCTCATGATTGTTTCCGACACCTATGTACGTCTACTTAAGTCAAGTCCATTCGTAACGCCTATCCACATATTAAGTAAATTAATTCAATTAATCCGCATTAATCGATTTAGTCAACATGTGCATATAAAATTATTCTTTGCAGTTAAATTGTGCTTACAAATTGCCACCTGTTTGAACCATTAGAATATATTTTTATGCATTTCGTTTAATTAATGCACATTAGTTACCGTTTTCGAGTTAATTTATGGATTTGGTGAATGTAAATCTCTACTTGTATATTATACTAGGGTGAACTAACTTTTTCTCTAGCAAACTCCAAAATGCCAAAAAATGCAAATCAAGTTAAAAGTCAACTACGAAATTAATTGAATTAATTTGACCAGAATACGATTCTTTGAATTTCGGTATTGTAAAATCTATGGAAACTCTGCTGATTTATATTCTAATATTTGCAAATTTTTCTTTGAGACATACGTTTACTTTTTTTAATTTAAGTAATTACTGTTCTGTTATAATTTAGATTTTGTTAGATTCAGAAACCGAGCACCCTATTTTACACAAAAACGCTAGCAAAATAATGTTGATAAAAATAGAGCAAATCTCCCCATTTCTTTATATAAAACTAATTGCACTCTAACGATTTATATATTCAGCTAATTTGGTATAATTAAGCCTAATTGTATTTGTATATTTCACCTGATGATAACTATCAGATGAAACATCCCCATTTGACTGATCAGCAATTTTTTCTGGGTAATTGTGTGTTAGATGATCCCAAATTGATTCTCCTTTGCCAGATTCATTCCAAGCACCCTCAATTTGATATGCTGATGAACCGACGCCCCAAAAGAAGTCGRGAGGAAATTGTCGTTCTTTTGGTTCCACTAGTGGGCTTCTGGAAATGAAAAAGTTAGTATTAAAGTACATTCAAAATAATCAAGAAATAAGTAAGGAAAGGCTAAGACCAATTAACAATATCAAAACTGGTCACATATTTTCGGTGGATGGAAAAAATTTATATTAATAAATGTTGTATATAACGATTGCAAGACGAAATATCTCCTGGCATCAACATTAAAAGACAGCGGCTACGCTGGCTAGGTCATGTTGTCCGAATGGACAAAGGCACTAGAGTTTTAAAAGTATTCGGCACAGTACTCGCCGGGGGAAGCAGAGGAAGAGGAAGACGGGTGCTTCATTTATATATTGTACAGTGAAATAATCAGATAAAATTTCGAATTATGCTATTTAATGAGATGACATACCTTCAATTTTGTGATACAGCAACTTTTTAATTAACAATTATTAATTTGCGAGTGAAGAAAGGAATATGTATACAAGAGCTATGTATGATTGCATTGTACTGCAACAAGAATAAAAAAATAATAATCACTATGAGAAAACTATTTGACGCCAACAGAAAAACTGTTTTCATTTGAATCACAATTCACAATATAAATTTCTCAGAACAGTATTTGAATATAATCAGCAAAGAAGTTATTTATAACAATTCGACCAGATTTTATCTATTTTTCAGAATATTTTCCAATGTCACCCGGATGTTCGATTTTCTTTATACTGGGTATATGGGGCTAAGTATTAGTCCGATTCAAAGCGTTTTTAACTTACAAACACACCATTGTGAGAGAAGTATTATCCCTTAATTTCAATTATATATGTTACACATTGACCGATATTTTCGATCCAAAGTCATCTACAGTATGTAGTACAGTAATATTCCAAAGTTGATTTTCGAAATGCTGCTCACCTTAAATAATGCAAAATGTATGTTTGTAGTGCAAGTAATTTTTTTTTAACAAAATTAACTTAGTTTTGTAAATGCAGACGTGCCTTTCGTACAGTCATTTTATAAAAAGGATCCCTTTTCAGTCAAGGATACTTACGGTGACAAGCAGACACTCAGCGCGATCATGCACAAAAATGTTATCAAATGCAGATACAATTTCTCCATATTGCTATCAGGTACACTGTGACAATTCACTTAATTCTCTTTATTGATTTTACTCTATATTTAGCTTATCTCAGGAATAAGTGTTATTTTTGACTTGACAACCGTTTTAACGTCTCATAAAATATTTTATTTTATTGTTCACCGCTAAATGTTTAAAAAAGCACCAACTTTTTCGCTGCAAAATTTGACAAAAAAATTTATTTTTAATGCAATATGCTTTAAGGCAATTTCGACACTTTCAAACCGTTTATTCGAATTTAACCTAGTCGACTTGTGAATTAGTAATTTTGATGGCCAGAATGTAGGTGGCCAAATGACAATAACGTGTAAGGACCACTCATTTTAAACTAACTGCCGGCAGCGACAATAACGATCGCAGCAGAGTTGACGGCGGCAGCAGCAAACAACGCCAGCAACAATCACAGAAGCCGCCACCGCATTCCGCACCCGTTTCATTAACTATTTGTTTGATTAGCCATCTGCTATTGAAAATAAATTGTTTGGTTTCTGATGTGATTACCCATCGCCCCTTGTTATTTGTTTGGTTATTCATTAGTTACCACTGTTTATCGTATCGGTTACCTTCTTCCTTGTAAATAAAATAATTTAACATTTGTTTTAATGCACTTTTTTATAAGTTTATATATTCATGCATAACAAATACTATATTTTTTCTTCATATTTTTACAAATTTTCAATAATTAGTTGAGATTAGCTTCTAAATATTACCAATTATATATAGGTTACAAAATAAATTTTCTTTCTTACAATCATTTTTACAAATTTTAAATAATTGTTTTAGATTCTTCTTCTTCTTTACTAGGGCAGACACCGCTTACATGATTAAAGCCGAGTTAACAGCAGCGCGTCAGTCGTTTCTCTTTTTCGGAACGTGGCGCCCATTTGCTTCGCTGCCTTATCCATACTGGAGAAAGCAGAACTAATGGCGCGGTGTACTAATAATAAGTAAATTATTTAAGTGTACAGGAGTTTCGGTCACGCTAGTTATGCTAGGATGTGTGTATATGCTATAGTGATCCGATAGCGAGAGTTCCGACAAAATTTTAGATCCACATCTAAAAGCTCTAGTCCTCATTTCACGTATATACAGAGAGACAGAGAGCATGGCTAAATCGTTTCAGCTCATCACCCTGATCGTCATCCTGATCATTTCTATATATGTACATACACCATATATAATACATATGTATATATGTATTTGCGAGGCTTCATTCTTTGTGGCAGCTTTAATATAGCCTGGTCAGGTTACAGCAAATACAATTAAACTTCCATAACTTGATCTTCTATCGACTCGAAGTTCTCCACAACTCGAACTCTTGAATTGGCAATAAAAGTCAGGTTACATACGAATATCCTTCCGTAAATTTTTGAAATTGGAACGTTGTTCTCTAGGTTGCATTTTTTGGAGAAATCCCACTTTGTAAACAGATGCGCACGTAGAACTCGTCGCGCGTATTTATCCCTTCAAATATTACTATTACAGTTCATATTACGGTGGACAATGAGAATTGCTCAGCCGGATTTATGGCAGGTGATATTGTAGAACCGAATATTTCAAACCCAACGAATACGAGTAGTAGCGACATAAAAAACGATGAGGATTCTGAATAAGAAATTATTCAACCCCTGTATAAAAATGATGTAACATTTTTTTTATATACTTAAATTAACAAAACTTCTCAAATAAGTATAAGATGATGTTTGAACAAGTTAGAATTACCCTTATAAAGCAGATAAGTATATCAAATCACTTTTGGGTAGGTTTTTGATATATTTTGGTTATATATTTCCTCTATGCATTTTTTTCCAACATCGAGAACTTTGATTTGGAGATTTTCTTTCTTCCATAGAAACTATTAAGTTAGAAATCATACAGAACAGACCCAAAATACTCATGCGCAATATTTTTGCCATAAACATTTCGTTTACTTTGGTTGTACTTCAAACCGATGAACGTGCCATATAAGTATGTATATACTATATGAATGGAAAATGTGCAAAAACAATATATAAAGTATTACCGGAATTATCCATTTCTTTTGTTCCAGAAAGTCCCGACAAAAAACCAAAGTACGTGAAAATATTGACAATTAAGAGAGACTTTAAATTTTATTTTAATATTTTTAAAGCATCGATACGATGTGATATTTAGTACCGAAATGCCCAATTTTTTACATAAAAATGCCGAAAACTTCTAGAAGCGAAATTAGTATAGACTAAGTACGGGATTCTCCAGACAAATGATCGAAATAAGTAATAACATCGAGGGCTTACTGTACAAATTTACAAAGTTTTAATTGTGACTCAAGGCTAAAGCTAACTGCTACCGATAACAACTACTCGCTGTTATGCTCAATGAAAAAAAATATATACTCAGGTGAGATTTAATATAATTGTTTTCCTAAAAACCCGTGCATTTTCTTTAACGGGAACGATTCTTTTTATTTTATTGTCGTGTCTTATTAAGAACACACCACTGTGCATAAGAGGGGCAATATGAATGGCGTATGAATATGTGTATATACCCAGTGGCCAGTTCAGAGGAGGTAAAGGGGGGAAATTGAAATACTACAGAATCCCAGTGTTGGATACAATCGGCGAAAATTTGAAGACGCGCTTTCCTTCACAAATGTTGGATGTTTTGAGTTTGCTGAAATGTGCTTTGAAATCCAAAGAAATGGAAAATCTTTTTGACTGCTTGATAGATAAATTCAAAGGCCTTTTTGATAATAAGAACGTCGTGCGAGTAGTTCATAGTTTTATTCGCATATTCTGCACACTTCCTGTGACGAATGCGAGCTCTGAACGCTCTTTTTCGACACTTCACCGAATGAAAACGTAGCTGAGGAGGAACATGCTTCAAGATATGTAGATTGATCGGCCTAACGTTGTTGCACACGAATAATGACATTGAAGTCACTGTGGAAGAAGTTCTGAAAAGACTCTCAAAACTTGGTCACATCGTTTGGTTTTGTGAAATTTTTCTATCCAATGCACGAACTTACTAAAGTATTATAAATTACAATAAAGCGTGTTACTAGCACGTCCACGATTTATAATGTGTTTTTCAATTTAGTAGGATTTTATATTAGAAAGTCGATTTGAAATTTTTCCACCATAATATTAAACTGTATATCGACAACTATATTTAATAAAATAATCTTCATGTTTCAAGTAAATGTTTATTGGCCCCCGTTCCCCCCAAAAAATATTTCTGGATCGGCCTCTGATATCCCATAGGTACTCAAATATCTCTCTAGATAGATGACGAAATTTAATTTTATATGTGATATATATAAGACACTCAAAAACTCCAAGTGTTCTCAAAATATTACATCGTACGAACACCCAATTAGGCACATAAGTACCTGAGTATACTACTCGTATATAAGTACTTATATCATACATACATACATATTACATTATTATGCTGGAATTAAAGGGTTTGTAAAAAATGTCAATTTTAGTCTTACTTCTTTACATAAAACAACATTTGATATGACGAAATGTTAATAATAATTACCCATTGTTGACGAATTAAGAATAGTAGTTCCAGTTTTCAACAACGACAAAATTGAACAAATATCTAAAACAAATGCAACACCAAGATCGCGAATGTTGCTCTCAAACCTTTCTAGTCAATAAGAATGAAATTTCTGTCCACATTCACAATTGGCCAGATATTTTGTTCTTTCAATACTTTTAGATGTTTTGTTGAAATAAATTTACCTCAAACACACTTTTGTTTATCCAACAGAGCTGCATTGTCGTAAAACAGTTCTACTATTAATTGATCAATTAATTTTCCTTAATATAAAAACCAAAAATACCATATTTT